CTCTCCCTTTTCCTCAAAACCCCGTTTATATTCCCCCACAATCCCTAAAACCCAAAAATAAATATCATATTTTTAACGTTTTCATCTCCCACAAACCCACCCACCGCAAGAATTCGATCCTGTTTCAAGATAGAATCGCACCCTTTCCCGTATAAAGTGTAGCGTTCCAAACAAAAGAAGAAAATATCTTCTTTACGATGGCCACGGTGGCAAAGTTAAACTTGTCATCACTAGAGTGCCACCAGTTCTACCACCGCCGGCCGCCGCCGTTGGGAGGCTGTTTCCGGCGGAGTGTCGGTGTCTTGTACCCGTTTGGCGTAAAGGGTTGTGGGAGAATTAGGTTGAAACCGTGCAGGGCGTTTAGATCAGGGGAGGGGGGTAGTGAAGAAGGGGAATTTGACAAGAAATATTGGTGGGAGTCTCAAAAAGGTCTTGATAATTTGGTCAGGGGTTTCAGGTCTGCTGTTTGGAGCTGCTCTAAACCAAGTTTAAGGTCAGATTATAAATTTAGGGAAAGGTTGGAGAAATTAGAGGAGAATTTATTCTTGGTATGTAACAAGTCGATCATGCTTTAATTTTATATTATCTTCATTCATATCTTCTTCCTATTTTTGTCCTCTAAAATTTCCTTAGTTTTGTATTTGCTTTCCTTTGATTTGCCAGGATCCTGGAGTTATTGTTCTTCAAGCATTCTTTTCTTAGTTTTCTAAACAAAAATAGTAATGAAATGACAAAATTAGATATTCTTTGCTCCTAACTTCCAATGATTTCAATCCAATTCTTAATTGTCTTTTTCTTGTTTCAGTAAGCTGAATTCTGTTTATGTAACTGTGAGATAAAAGGTTTCATGAAGTTGTGTTTTGAATTTTTATGTTCATATATACTTGTATTTAAATGTTCTTCTCAACTGGACAGTTGGCTCTATATGTTGGGAGGTATATTGTGACTATGATGAGCACTGGAGCTATATTGATGATTGGATTTCAATTGTCAGGTTAGCTAATTTTGTGCTTCTTTGCATTATAAATGCTAGTTCCTTAATAATGTTTCACAGTTTAATGATAAATACTTATGTTGTAATTGGATGCAACTTTTATAGGAGGGGATAGCCAGATGAATGACCTAATATGGTATAGTTGGCTTGGAGGAATCATCATTGGGACTATGATTGGGTCCAATTTGGTTTTGGAGGAAGTCAGTCGGGCCGGTCCACGGAATGTTGTAATAACCGGAAGGTAATGTTTTATATATGCGAAATAAGTAAAGGCCCTGTTCGGTAAATGGCTGTTAGCTGATTGTGTTAATTAGAGGGTATAACTAGTTGATAACATTAGCTGTTGTAGAAAAGTGTTTGGTAAATTAGCTGTTAGCTGATAGCTGTTTGGTAGCTTTTTAAATTTTAGCATTTTGGAGTTGCAAAAAGCTAATTAACCAAATACTTATATTGATATTTTAACTAAATCAAACAATTAATAGTGGTCAAATAAGCCAAAATTGGCCTATAGGCCAATTTTTTACCAAACAGGGCCAAAGTGATATGCTACTTAGTATTGGAAACTTGTTATGGAGAAATTCATATTGCGGCTAACTCTGTACATGGATTAGGCGGTGTTGCTAATGATTACTGTTATTGCAGTACAAGGGGATTGGGGAAAGCTCTGGCTCGAGAATTTTTACTTTCTGGAGACCGTGTTGTTGTTACCTCTCGCAGGTCCATTAAAATAATGAAATCTATAAGTCATTTGCATACTCTTCTATTGATTCTTTGGAGTCGGGTCCTAATACTTGGCTTTTCTGAAGGCAGCCCGGAATCGGTGGATAAAACTATCAAAGAGCTAGAAGAGAATCTAAACCAAATCATGAACACTACAATTGGCTCATCTAAGAGACGTTTTGCAAATGCGAAAGTGGTGGGAATTGCTTGTGATGTCTCTCAACCTGAAGATGTTAGGAAACTGGGAAAATTTGCAGCTGATGAACTTGGTTCTATCGACATTTGGGTAAAAATTTATACTCTAAAAAAAAAAAAAAACCTTAATTGTCTCTGTTTTTTGTTTTAAAACTGGATTACCAATTTAAACAGGTAAATAATGCTGGGACGAACAAAGGATTCAGGCCTTTGCTGGATTTCACCGATAATGACATCCAAGAGGTATGTACCGACAATGACTCCAAAGGCCCTTTACTCTGGAGGATTTCTATAATACTCAATTTGACTGATTTGTTATTTGTTTTTTTTTTTTTTGTATAGATAGTTTCGACAAACCTCATAGGGTCTATACTTTGCACTCGAGAAGCCATGCAGATCATGGCATCTCAACATAAAGGGGGTCACGTATTTAACATGGATGGTGCCGGATCCGGGGGGTCTAGCACTCCTCTGACGGCTGTGTAAGTGTCACAGTCCCGATTAACACTTGAACACTATTGAGGAGCTAGTTATAACTCAATTTATGGTATATTCTACTCCCACAGATACGGGTCAACAAAATGCGGTCTTAGGCAGCTTCAATCGTCACTTTTCAAGGAGTGCAAGCGATCAAAAGTTGGAGTGCACACTGCCTCCCCAGGCATGGTTTTGACAGATTTGCTGTTGAGGTACACACAAAATATTGAATCTAATCAATTAACTAGTCTGACCATAGACTTATAAACTCATATGTTCTCTGTAGTCACTGGTCCCGAAATATTTGAGAGCTAACTCGAATATATTGTTTCAGTGGATCGAGTGTTCAAAATAAGCAGATGTTTAACATCATCTGCGAGCTCCCCGAGACTGTGGCTCGAACTCTAGTACCACGGATGCGGATTGTGAAAGGAAGTGGCAAGGCTATTAATTATTTGACCCCGCCAAGGATATTAATCGCTTTGGTTAGCGCTTGGCTGAGACGAGGCCGTTGGTTCGATGACCAGGTAACCTCGTACTCCCCATGCCTTCATTTCATTTCTCGAATAACAAATTATATTATTTATTTCTAATCAAATAACGAATTGTTCCAGGGAAGAGCTGTGTATGCTGCAGAGGCGGATAGGCTTCGAAACTGGGCTGAGAGCCGCACTCGCTTGTCATTCACCGATGCCATGGAGACGTACACCGAAAATACTTGGGTTTCTGTGTTCTCGCTTTCTGTGGTTTGCGCTTTCATCATTCTATCGAGCACAGGTAGCACATATCCTGGCACCTAAACCTGGATTCGCGTAGAAATCTTAAACCTGTTCTGCTACTTGGTATTTTAGCCAAAAGAGAAACACTAAACCCACGTTAGAACCCCTTAGATTGATTCCCAGAAACCACGAGGCCTCCTCAATCATTCCTTCCGATTCATTCCTGTCTACATTCTCTGCATTGGATGTACCAAAACTTGGATTCTGTAAAATGTAAAGAAATGAAATGTATGTAGCTAGTAGGATTGGATTATTCATTTGAATTGCTAAGAATTTCTTTAGTTTCTTTTGGTTTTAGACATTGGCATGCAAATCAAGAAAAATACTTGCTCAAACTTTTGTTGCTTTGGAATGAGTACAATCCATATTAATGAGTTTGTTGGATTAGCGACCTGCTATCACAGGTCACTAGAGTTTCGCAACCCTCCAGTGCAACTTCCAACAAGTAAACAACTAGCGACCGGCAAAACACACTGGTCGCGGTTGTTTTCTTTGCATAGGAGGGTTGCCAAAACTTAGTGACCTGCTATCACATGTCACTAACCGATTTTTGGACTTCATTACACCAAAATATAATGATGATAAGTTTAATTACAATTTTAAAATGTTTAGGAATATAATTGATTTGGTAAAGTTTAATTATATATTTGACTCGTTTTCCTTTCTTTTCTTTTTCGATGTGTATTAACTTTGACAAAAAAATTTCTTGACTATTTAGTTAACTTTTCAACATAATCTCTGGTCTCTAGGTATCGTTATAAGATTAATTTTGGTAGTCATCAATTCAAACAATCAAATTTAATTTATGTACTTGTAAAAGCTTTCAAAATTTGAGTAAGTCTATTCATCCCTCCCTTTAGTGCACTAGCAGAACTTAATAGTACAAACATTATGGCCAAGTGGATCAACATGCATAACTCTATTTTCGCTAATTATTTTGAGTTTTTGAATCGCAATAATTTCACAATGGTTAGCCAAGGCCTTTAGACCAACATGCATTGACCAAGTTCCATGCGTTAGGGCATTTGTCCCGAGCTCAACCATCTTGGACCAAACTCTCTTCTCTGGTAACTCATCACGATTATCCCATTAGTAATAAACAAGAATGTTTTTAGGTTTTTAAAAGGCAAACTTTATTCAGGATATTCTGCAGTAACTCCAATTTTTTTTAGAAGAAAAGTAGGCACTTCAATTAATGCATGTACACCACTCACCGTGCTTGCACCAAAAATGGCGCCTTCATTTCTGCTGAGAGAAATTGCTTTAACAGTTTTTAATTTTTTTGATTTTATTGTATAAAACTTTTTCTGGGTGACATTTGCGTAAGGTTACAGCTTAAGGTGCGTAAGTTTATAGTAAGGATTTTAATAAGTTTATAGTATTAGGTGCGTAAGTTCATAGCCAAAAAAAAAAAAAAAAACTGAGAATTATAAATTTAGAAAAAAAATAGAGCTAACTTTATTTTATTTTATTTTATTTTACATTTATACGTTTCTATTTTCCCGATCCATGCTAGATAGGATTATGCAAATGAAAGGCAGAGCATTATATATATAGATAAAGAATGGGGTTGATCATCCAGCTATGTTTGCGCTGCATTGCATCTCTAATCATGGCTATGGCTGTCTAAGTGAACTTTGTCAAATCTAACCTGCGGATGTTACGATGTTCAGTTAGAAAGCAATAGCATGAGACAAAAAAAGCTTCCACTTTACACTGAAACAGATCAGATTGTCCTTGCTGCATCACCCATCTGCGCCCTTCACAATCCATAATAACATATTTTCGGAGTTTTCATGGTGGCCGGAGTTTTGAAAACCCAGAAAGGTTTTTGAACGATGATGAACCCAAAGTATGAATCCGATCATGGAAGCACGCCCACCACTCCGAAGTGCCTCTCGTACTACGTGCAGAGCCCGTCTGGCGACTCCAATGACTACGCCGACAAGTCGTCGTCGTCGGCGCAGAACACGCCGACGCCGACGACGTTCGACAGCCCACTGGAGTCGCCGTCCTACTCCCCCAGCTACGGCGCGGACTCCGCCTCCAGCCGGGTCTCCGGGAATCTGCGGTGGGCGAGGGGTAACCGGAGGCATAGCGAGAAAGGGTCGCGGGAATGCAAGGTGATCGACGAGGAGCTTGTTCCCGACAACCCCTATGGAAACGGAGGAGGTTATTCAATCATTGAAAAAGGTTTTTCAATCATTGAAAAACTCCTCATCGGATTCGCAGGTTTCTCGTTGTTTTTTGCCTGTTTTTGCTTCATCGTTTGGAGTGCAAGCCGGCCTTACAAAACCTTGGTCAGTTTAAAGGTAAAGTTTAGATTTTAGTTTCTTGAATCAGATTCTTTTAATTTGTGGTAAGTAATTGAACATTGTTGTGTTAGGCCTTGAATGTTCATAGCTTCTATTATGGACAAGGCTCAGACCACACCGGTGTTCCAACCAGGTTGCTTACAGTCAATTGTTCACTCAGGATGGCCACCCACAACCCTGCTACCTTCTTTGGGATTCATGTCAGCTCCACCGCCGTCAATCTCAAATACTCACAACTTACAGTTGCAACTGGTGAGGTGAGATTCTTCCCATAAAACACTTCATGGTCCAGTAGGAATATCAATAAGACCAATCCGTTCAATTTCTCAAACCAGTACATTAATTTCGAGCTATAATTGATATTCAAGTTTCTTGTTTTTGTGCTATATGGGCCACTAGGAATGTCAATCAGACCAACCCATTCAATTTTGTTCAGTTTCTCAAGCCTGTTTCTTGTTTTTGTACTATATGGTCCAATAGAAATGTCAGTCAGACCAACCCATTCAATTTCTCAAGCCAGTTTCTTGTTTTTGTGCTATATGGTTTAGTAGGAATGTCAATAGGCCAACCAGTTCAATTTCTCAAGCCAGTACATTGATTTCGAGCTACGATTGACATCCTATACTAGTCATAGTTTCTTGTTTTTGTGCTATATGGTCCAATACGAATGTCATCTCAAGCCAGTTTCTTGTTTTTGTGCTATATGGTCCAGTAGGAATGTCAATCAGACCAACCCGTTGAATTTCTCAAGCCAGTACATTGATTTCAGATTTCGAGCTACGATTGACATCCTAGTTTCTTGTTTTTAAGGAATGTCAATCGGACCAACCCATTCAATTTCGTTCAATTTCTCAAACCAGTTTCTTGTTTTTGTGCTATATGGTCCAGCAGGAATGTCAATAAGACCAACCCGTTCAATTTCGTTCATCGTTCAATTTCTCAAGTCAGTACATTGATTTCGAGCTACGATTGACATCTTGGTTTCTTGATTTTGTGCTATGATTCAGACTTGTGTGGATGCAGGTGGATGAGTATTACCAACCAAGTAAGAGCCACAAAGAGCTGACGGTGAGGTTGCATGGGCATAAGGTTCCGCTTTATGGGACAGGGACATCCTTTGTGGATTTAGATAACAAAGGAGGGGTTCCATTGAAGTTGGATTTTGAGATGAGATCACATGGATACCTGATAGGGAATTTGGTGAAGACAAAACACACAAGGCATGTCTCCTGTTCCTTGATCATCAAATCTGGTATGACAAAACATGTGGTATTACACAAGAAATCTTGTACATGGAACTGAGTTCCATCCAAAGTTGCAAATCCAATCCAGATTCTTCCCTCAGTTATTTCAAACTGATATTCAGAAGTCTGGAATTGAAGAAGGTTATATATAATGACCACTTTAATGCTTTTCTCATGTAGTTTTGCAAATTATGTCTTACGATATTGGTCTCCAGAAGAAGATCAGATTTTTAGAGCATCAAACAATTAGTGGACTGCATTTTCATTTTGATATATAGCTACAGGCATATATGCCTATATACTTGAACAAGAAACTATTTAGAAAGATGGCAAAAAACATCCCTTTCCAGATTACTAGAATTGGTATAAGTTTTGATTGATTACACAAATTGCAAATATTAACCATTAACAACAGTACAGCTTACTACAGATTGTATAGTAATACAGGACTGTACATAATGTTCCCATATAAGCTCTGAGATTCTTTGTGATCACCCTCATACAATTACATATTTCAGTGTTTTGTCTCTCACTTCTACTCAACTCTCTCGTGTATGAGGAATGTAATGTGAGCAATGAGTGGACTAGTGACATTATATAACCACGGGCCATCATGGTTGTTGTTGTATGTTTTTAAGTCTCTTAAATCTTAACCAGACTCCTAACCATAATGGAAGTCTAGCTAGGAAAAAATCAAATCTGATTTACGTTCATTGTGAATAGTTGATTTAGCAAGATCAATGGTTATGATTAATATGCATGTGTGTGTACGTGTGTGTGTATGATCCCATGAGAACAATGTTTTGGGTGAGGACGTGAGGTCAAATTAATAATTTGCACGGCCTAGATTAAATACTAAAATCTCCTAAATTTGGGAGATTTTTGGTATATCAAAACTACTCCACTCTTAAAAAAAAAAAAACTATCAATAATAAATATATCAAAATAAATAATAAACATTAAATCTAACATAATAAGAGTAACTTTTTGTCCTTGCGTTCACACATAAAAAGTCATTTCATAGCTCACGTCCTGCAACTCAGCCAATTATATGTTCTAGATTCACAACTCAAAAGGAATCCTTTCTTATCTTGTCTTCCTAAAATCATGGAAAAAAACTGAATATAATATTTCTATTTAATTGGTTGAGGGTCGAAGTTACACTATTATTATTTAAAATTAATTATGATTTAGATATACATTAAATTGATAGATTATCTTGACCATTGATTATTGAAAATTTAATGGATTGAATTAGTTCTTAGGTTCTCACCTAAGGAGGAGTTCTTACTTAAGCCCACCCTATATATATCCTTTATCCCATGAGAACAAGGTTTTAGGTGAGGGCTTGAGGTCAAATCCATACCATCAGATTAATAATTTACACGACCCAGATTAAACACTAAAATCTTCTAAATTTGGGGGATTTGGTATATCAAAACTTTTTCACTCTTAAAAAAAAAATACCAATAATAAATAGATCAAAATAAATTATAACCATTAGACATAACATAATCAACAACAATAATTTGTCCTTACGTCCTCACCTAAAGATTTGTTCTCACCTGAACAGAAATATATATAGAGTTTAGCTCAAATGCGACCGCTTAAAAAAGGCACCAATAATGTTAACAAAGAAACCAATAGTATAATTAGGAAAATGTACAAATACACCACGTACAAAACGCACAACACACCCAAAAAATGCATCATACCTCCCTACATCTAATTGTGCATTTCCGAACACTGTATGGTGCTTGATGTGAGCTTAATTGTACATGTTTCTCTTGTTAGTTTGAATCTATTTATGGGCTTTAAGTTCATTAAATTGTTACTCTTAGTGTATATTCCCTAGATTTCTCATGAAGATATGGTTTTATACTTGTTCTGAATGTTTTACGGTGTTTGTTAGTGTTTTGAGACCATTGTAGATGAATTACAAAAGCAATGGAAGTTATAGGACAAGTTTGGAGCCAAAATAGACTGAAGGATGCTAAAAAGGAGTATTTCACGCGTCGAGAATCAAACTCAACGCATCAAAAAATTCCAGTAGTCGATTTGTCCTAGTCGTCGAAGACTCGACGCGTCGAGAAATTCCAGAGTCGAGTCCGAAGAAACAACCAAGGACTCAACGCGTTGAGACATTTCTCGACGTGTTGAGAGGTTCCAGCAAGTGGTCCGAGAAAACGACGTCAAAACTCGACGCGTCGAGAAGTCTGGGCCATGTTTTGGAATGTTGTGTGAAAATTTCCTAATTTATTCCTACTGAGTTCCCACTATAAAATGTTCACCTTCCTTCAACCCTAGAGGACTTAAGCTGCGTTTTTGGAGCAAGAGAGGAGAAGATAATCACACCCAGAGCTACAAGTTATCTTGAAAAAAAGAGAAAGGCTATGAAGATTTGGGAGAATTTCTTTACCTTTTCTTTACTTTCTTTGTTGCTGGTAAACTATTTTATATTATTGCAATGAATTCTATTCTGAGTGACTAAGTTATCTAAGAGATTCTTGAGATTCATGTTTTGCAATTGTGTTCTATTTTGTTGATGCTTGTAATTAATGGTTATAATTACTCGTTTTATAGCTATTTTTATGTCTTAACGGATTGAGAGCATCGCGAGGGCATATTTGTTAAGGAGTTAACTCCATTGAAGTTCAGGGTTATTCTTAAATGCTTGTTCTTACATTCTTGGGTCACTTGAGTGTTTATATCACGAGAGTGAATATTCACTTTTGTTTTAAGTTGGAGATTACGGGAGTAACTCTTTCCCACACTTGTTTAAACTCTGATTTAATATTGTTCTCATCAACCTGCTACTTTGTTTTAATTATTTATACTTTTACAATTGCTCAGTCACACACTTGTATAATATAAACGAAAAAAAAAAAAACTGAACTTAAATTTATTTATTTTTTAATGAAAGAAAATCAAATAATTTTCCAAGTTCATGATTTATAATCATTGAATGCTATGTATTTATTCGGACTAATTATTTGACCAAAGTTTATGTTAAATTTTATATTATATTTTTAATACATTTTAACATATTCGTAGTATATGTTTAACAATTATGCTAACTCTAATTAGGATATGATGAGGTTCGAAGCTAAGACCTTTCTTATAGAAATTAATAAGTAAGTTGAGAATAGTAAATAGTTAACGGAATATTCCGTTAATAAAGTACTTTAAAGTATATCAAAGCAAGACTATATTGAAAGTGTTCATACATAGATAATTGAATGTTGAATTTGCGTATTTAAATAGGTAATTCTAAGTTTACAAATGCAAGATAATATAGTCAAGATTTATTATAAATTTATATTATTTATACTTTTACAATTGCCGTATAAAAATATATCTTTTGATATAATTGAGTAAAATATTATATCATTATGTTCAACTCATTTAAAATGGACATTGAAGTTATTTGAAAAGTTATGGTGTATGATTAAGATTCCAAATTCATGGGCTTAGATCTTTGGTTTATTGTCTAAGTTATTGGAATGCTTCTGGACTATTTTTTGACTATTTTTGATGAGTAGGAGTGACAGTCACTCTTTAATTATATATAGTGACAGTCACTCATTAATTATATATATTAGAAGTGTAGAGATTTGTAAAATCTTATAAAACATTATAGAACTCATATAATTCTATAGAATTTAAAGGAAATGTTAGAGATATAATCATAGTCATACAATCAAGTAGATCTCCATCGTCGAAATAAATATAAATAATCTCATGCGACTCATTTTGTTTTAATACTTGGTGTACTCTCATTTTAAATTTCCAACTTGTACTCTCTCTCATACTCTTTGATGTAGACATTTTTCTGTGGACCACGTGATGAAAATAACCAATCCGCCGCGCCACCATGGGTTGCTACTATAAAAAAAGATACATAAATTAGTTTAGTTCGAAATTCTCCTGCATTGATATACAGAAAGGATTACTGTTAGAGTAGGAGCATCGTAAAGGTTAAAGGGTTACTGTTAGAGCAGGGAGTTAGCAACACAAATCAAAACGTACAATATAAATCAAACTAAATTAAAGTCAGAGATTGAACAAAAAAATATATATAAAATAATGTGACATTATATTGAAGGGTAGGCAAATTATGTAAGTGGCACCATAAGTTGTTGACTATCTGGAAGAGGAGATTTATCCAAACAATCATGGCACCAATATCTATATCCCCAGTTAGAATATCCAAAAAATCGTGTCCATATCTCCGGTAGTAACAGATTTAGAGACGAAAGGAACCCATTATCAATTTCTAGCACATAATATAAATGTCAATATCATCATTTATCAAAAAATAAAATTAAAAAATATATAAAAATTTAATTTTTTTTTAAAAAATGGTGGATCAAAATTGTGATTAATGTGATAAATAAAATAAAAAAATGAATTTATATTCCAAATACCAATGAACATGTAATTTTCTTAGCATAAAATAATGTTCAATTTACATCCACAAATATTATTTTAGTACTAATTTTCATCCACGACTAATTTTTTAGTATCAAAATTCATCACACCAGTCACTCATTTATTTAAAAAATACCATAAATGAAATTTATAAAAATTTTAAAGGTATTTTTGTCTTAAACATTAATAAAAAAAATTTAAACAACAATTCCCAATCCCCTAGCACCAATATATTCTCAAGATTTGATTGATTACACCGATTATAAATATTAACCACAAACAACCACCACTTACTAAAGATTCTATAGTAATACAAGACTATACATAATAATGTTCTGGGTACCCTCAAACAATGTCATGTTAAACTGAGAGTATCCCCTTGAATGATGATATAAACTGAGAGTATCCCAAACAAATAAGGAAATCCAAATCTCTCCGATTCAAAAATGAGTAGTTCCAAATTAATAAAAAAATTAAAAAAGTAAGATAGATAGCGGCAGATTTTGCAGCAATTTGACAGCAAATGAAAATATGACTCATTTTCTAAATTGGGAGAAATTTGTAAGAACGTAAAATAAATAGTGAAGAATTTGCAACCTTGATAATGTAAAAATAAGATCCATTATAGAAAAAGAGAAATTTGTAAGAATAAGGATAGTCCTAGATTGCTGATATATAGTCGGCAAGATGGAACTCATATGATTATTGGAGTACAGAGTAAAGCATGATATACAAAGGTTGAATGTGATTTTGCCAGAAATCAAATTACATTTCATTAAAGAGAAATCAAAATTGGGTATCATTAAAGGGCATCAGTTCTCCAAGGTGATTAGCATCAAAGAAAACTCAGGCGCAAATTACCCATTAAAAATGAGACTCATCATATGCCCTTCAATATTAGACAACAAACATCAAAAGGAAATTATAATCTGCAGATCACAATAAAAAAAAAAAAAAAAAAAAACCAAGTTAATAAATTCTATCATCCCCTCACTTCTCCAGGGAAACATTTTGCAAAACAAACAAACAAACAAAACTGTGAAGTTAATAACACAGCTGCAAGTGCTCAGAACTTCTTAGAGGGTTGTGTAACCGTCAAAGACAAAATGTCTCCGGCACAAAGTTATTTTCATCCCAGCACCATGAAATCACAAAACAGGTACACCCAGACAAACATATACTTACATGGACCCAAAATCATACAAAAAGATTTTTATTAGAACAAGATTCACTGAAATGCATCAAGAAAGATTTAAGGGACTCAGTTTATGGGTGGTGATATATCAGGATGGTCGGCAAGGTGGCTATCACCATTACGACGAACGAGACCAATCTGAAAGCAGTCATCATAATCCCAGAACAATTCAAAATCAAAACAATCGTAGATTAAATCAAAATCAGTAAAATCTAAGCATCTAATCTAAGAATAAACACTGAATCTAACAAATAGTTGATCCAAAAGGAGAGGAAGATGAGTAACTGGCGAGACAAGAGCCTCAGTAGGTATAAAGCGCAATGAAGTTGAAATCATGGATGATCATAATTACCCATTGTTGAATCATCGGCATCTCATACCAGAACCAAAACAGCTAAAAATTAAATTAAAATATATATATATAAAATAAAAATAAAAAATAAAAAGAAGAAATGAATGGCCTCATTGAGAAGATTAGGCTATCAACATAAGAAAATTCAGACATATGCTTGTCTATTAAAGAATTTTAATCATTGGCCAAGCACCGAAGAAACAATACAAAACAAAACAAAAAGAAAACAAGCTAGTTACCCATTACCCATCATGGAAATGGCACATAAACAAGGAAGACTTGAATTTTGGGCTTCTATAGAGAACAGAACACAAAAAGATGATAAAGCCTAGCTGGGAGAAGCAGCTATACATCTCTGATAAATCTTTGATAAGTCTGATAATTATAGCTACATAAGGAGCTAGGGGGTTTTAGAGGCCACCGTCGTGCACAACGTGATAATTATTTCAAGCAGCCAATTCTTTGGTTCCAAGTTGGGCCTCCCAACATGGGACCTAAGTAATATCACACAACATACTGAACTATTAGAGAAAACCGGAAAAAACGGAACTTTTAGACTTTCACACATGGTAATGAGAATCAGAATAGGAATCATCAAATAAAAAACTTAATAATAGTAATAGATTTTGGTGAAAGTATTTTGCATATCTGTTAGTCAAACTAAATGCCAGCTTAAATGACTACCTTAGAGACACTAAGAACTTTCAATTTCCATGAAAGATCCATTCCCTAGCTCTGACTGCCTTTAATTAAGTTCCACCAGAAGTAGTCCCCATTAGTTAGCCAGCTAAACAGCTAGGTGATACTGAAGTGATTCTTATCATTGAAATAATCTCAATATTACCTTGAACCTTACGATCATGAGATATTAACTAAACCTTTTTGTTGAGTCCGACACAGCACAGATGAAACCTATATGTAAATAGGTTTGGAAGAATACCAGTTTTTGTGGACAAGGATACCTGGTAGGTAAGTTGGTGACAACAAAGCACACAAAGCATGTCTCTTGTTCCTTGATCATCAAATCTGGTATGACAAACCATGTGGTATTACATAAAGATAAAATCTTGTAAAAGGAAGTGATTTCCAAGTTGCAAATACAATTCAAATTCTTCAATCAATTATTTCAAACTGATATTCAGAAATTTGGACAGTTATTATGACTGCAATGTTGCTCTAAATCTCAATTAAGATTTGCAAATTTTGTCTTTGGATATAAGTCTCCGGAGAAAGATTTTTTTGGATTATCAAACAATGTGAGGACTGGATTTTCATTTAGATAACAACAGGAAAGCCTACTTGAACAAGAAAAGATTATAACATTGTAGAAAGATCCACATACAAATTACTAGAATTGGTATGAGATTTGATTGATTACAAAAATAACAAATAATAACAGAAATTTACTACGGATTGTATAGTAATACAGGACGGCACATAATGTTCCCATAGAAGCTCTGGGTTTCTTTGTGATCACGCTCAAACAATGTCCTATTTCGAAGATTGGGCAGTCAGATCAGTCTTCCTTGCATGACCCTGCATTCTATTGTTATTGATGTTGAAAATCTAGTTGGTAAAATAGAACTCAAACACCAGACAGGTTTTATTGGAGTCTATATGATTATAGACCATGTCAAATGCAAATAACAAATTCTGTAGGGTAATGAAGCACAAAGCAAGTATAAATATAACAAAGGTTGAATGTGATTTTGCCAGAAATCAAATTACATTTCATTAAAGGGAAATCAATATTGGCTATCATTAAAGAGCATCAGTTCTCCAAGGTGATTAACATCAAAGAAAACTCAGGCGCAAATTACCCATTAAAAATGAGACTCATCATATGCCCTTCAATATTAGACAAGAACATAAAAAAGAAATGATAAATCTGCAGATAACAATAAAAAAACCAAGTGAAAGAAGTGATCAGAACCTGTCGGGATTCACATTTGACATCACAAAATTTGTCAGTGGATTGACAGACTAATGAATTCTATCATCCCCTCACTTCTCCAGTGAAACATTTTGCAAAACAAACAAACAAACAAAACTGTGAAGTTAATAACACAGCTGAAAGTGCTCAGAACTTCTTAGAGGGTTGTGTAACCGTCAAAGACAAAATGTCTCCGGCACAAAGTTATTTTCATCCCAGCACCATGAAATCACAAAACAGGTACACCCAGACAAACATATACTTAAATGGACCCAAATCATACAAAAAGATTTTATTAAAACAAAATTCACTGAAATGCATCAAGAAAGATTTAAGGGACTCAGTTTATGGGTGGTGATATATCAGGATGGTCGGCAAGGTGGCTATCACCATTACGACGAACGAGACCAATCTGAAAGTAGTCATCATAATCCCAGAACAAATCCAAAAGCAAAATAATCATAGATTAAATCAAAATCAGTAAAATCTAAACGTCTAAGAATAAACACTGAATCTAACAAACAGTTGATCCAAAAGGAGAGGAAGATGAGTAACTGGCAAGACAAGAGCCTCAGTAGGTATAAAGCGCAATGAAGTTGAAATCATGGATGATCATAATTACCCATTGTTGAATCATCGGCATCTCATAACAGACTCAAAACAACCAAATTTTTTAAAAAAATTAAAAAAAGAAAAAAGAAATGAATGGCCTCATAGAGAAGATTAGAATATCAACATATGAAAATTCAGACATATGCTTGTCTATTAAAGAATTTTAATCATTGGCCAAAGAAACAAAACAAAACGAAACAAAAAGAAAACAAGATTGTTACCCATCATGCAAATGGCACATAAACAAGGACTTTAAATTTTTGGGGATTCTCCAGAGAACAAAACACAAACAAATGCTAAACCCTAGCTGGGAGAAGAAGCTATATATCTCTGATAGATCTTCGATAAGTCTGATACTTATAGCTACATCAGGAGCTAGGGTTTTAGAGGCCGCCGTCGCGCACAACGCGATCATTATTTCTAGCGGCCAATTTTTTTGGCTCCGGCTTGGGCCTCGCGACATTGGGCCTTAAGTAATACTCCGTATCCAATAGTCATGTTGTGCATGGTACATACGGATGCAAAAACGACGTCGTTTTATTAAAAAACGCGCGTCTCCCCTTTAAAAAAAATTCAAGTTCGATTCCCAGCAACAACATTATATTGTTCATTCATTCTGGAATTTTAGTTCATAGATTATGGAATTATAGTTCATTGGTTATGGAATTATAGTTCATCGATTATGGAATTGTAGTTCATCGATTCTGAAATTTTAGTTTATAGATTATGGAATTTTAATTCATTCATTTTGAAATTTTTAGTTCATAGATTAGATTATGGAATTATAGTTCATGGTGCATACGGATGCACAGCATAATTTGCCCTCCGTATCACTCAAATTAGGGAAAACCGAAAAAAGGGTATTTTGTCTTACTTTTATAAATTTTAAATAAATTTAATATTTTAACTATTCATAATGTTACAATTTTAGTCTCTAGTGTTATATAATTATAAACTATATTAACATATTAAATTATTTATTTAGAATCAATATTTACTATTAAAAACTAATTAAGAAAGCTTGCAAGCCACATGACTTGTAAAGTTAAACAAAAACAAAATTAAAAAGTCACTTCATAGTTCACGTCATCTTGCAATTAACAAAATTTATGAGATAAATTGCAATTGACAAATGATCCCAATGTCTTCTTCCCATAGAAGGTCACAAAGAATCTATCAAGGATGCTCACTCAAGACAACATCAACTTGATTTTGTTCTTCGTAGATGCTAATGTAATACAGGGTTTTTAACGCTCATGCATCAGCAACTCAATTTTGTTCTCTATAAATGTCCATGTAGATGATCTGACAATCAACATATTGATTTTGTTTTTTTGTACAATCAAAAAAATCAATAGCTCACTTATGTTCTTTATAGATGCTCGTGTGTGCATTAAATTGCTCCCACAAAACATTCAGAAACTCAATTTAACCTATGATGTCTTATAAACAGGTTTAAACATAATAACAACACATCACAATTTACATATACCTCAAGTATAATGGTGTTTACAACTGAATAACCAATTTATTTTAACTAATAAAACCCCCTTTTATTTACAGAAGTGATGAAGTGGTATTCCGGAATTACCAGGAGAGAGACTCTTGGGAAGAAGGATCTCAACATTCAAACAGCCTATAAATAATCATGGAAGTAGTAGTATTAATCAACTATATTTCCACACAAACCCTACTTTCTCTACATTGTACACTACCAAATCTTGTTACAAAAGCAACTCAATCTAATCTAATGATTCAAAAATCAAATAAATCGGAAAAAAACTTGTGCCAATCGATAGGGTTGCAGGTGTTGGTGCTGGTGAGGTGCCCGTGCCCCAGTCTGCAACGTTTAAAAAACGTGATGGAATTCAAGGCCGTCGGCTATGTCTATTATCTTCAGTCTCAACTTCTGTCAGGTCTAACCCTATCAACTTTGAACGATTCTTTGATCCAGCGTTGATAAAATCTGGGGCATCGACATGCCACCAGATACGACAATCTCTGCAAGAAAAAACACGGCAACATATGTGTACAGTATGAATTGGGTGCCCTTATGTTCCCCAGATGGGAACCTCAGTAACAAAAGCCGAGAAGAAGCAAGGTTGAGAATGCGTGACTACAGTAGTTCAAAGTGTACTCTGTAAAAAAAAAATACTTAACCAGGTAATATAAGAACTCTTACCAATCCCTTCACGAACTGACAAGTTCGGTCTTATAACATCGTTTGCATTGACCAGGAATATATCACCAATGTAGAGATGGTTTGTAGGAACATACACACAGCATAGCTCTTCATCTCCTGAATAGTTCTGGTTTAAACAGACAAGAATCAAGCATACATAAATCTTATATAGTTATTTTCAAGTCAAGCATACATAAATAAAGCATCCCTTGGTGATTTTTAGGAAGTCTTATTTTATTATATTACATAGTATAGATATTAATAAATTACTAAATAGTGTTTTTGTTTTGAGTGTTGCTGACTCTATATTACAATGTAGTATCTGCTCATAAACTACTTTCTCAACCTAGTGAAGCACAAAGAGTCAATGCTGCCTCCACTGAGGCTCGAACCCACAACCCTCCCACATAGGGGAGTAACTTGGTGCCACTTGACCACAATTATTTAGAAACTAATAAATAGTTATTTAGAAATTACTAAATAGTATTTCCAAAAAAGAAATTACTAAATAGTTATTTAACTTATTACTCTTAGTCTTCGAATTAATTTAGGTAGTTTAATTATTTAGAGGTAAATTGGAAGGATTACTTAGCTTATTTAGCCATTCTATGAGTTGCATTTTACCCTATAAAAAGGGGACCAATTTCAACGAAAGATAAGCAGAAATTTAATCCCAAAAAGGGTCTAAGGGAGCTTTGGGTCTCAAGCAAACCCAGTATTTTCTTCTCTTCCTTTTCCAACTGTTATTCTCTATTCATTTTTTCCTTATGTTTTCTTTCCCATGACGGGAGAACATAACACTTGGTCACAGTTGAAATGATCTAAAACACTAAACAATTGAAAATCCCCCCTTAATATACAGAACGGTTTGGCATGTAAAGTGAAAACAGAATAGCTTAAATTAGGATATAAGAGAAGCATCCAAGTATTGACAAACCTGAAGAACAACAGAAGAAGTAATGAACCCAAATGCATATTCACCAATACGTGGATGCCTTATGATGGCCACTTCCTTGAAAGCCTGAGTGTTCTGATCTGGAATAAAAGAAATATGTCAGGGAATTAATGATCCACCACATATAGAAAGCCATTTGATGAAAAGACAAGAGCAGAAAATCAATAAACAGACCTGGAGATATGGCAGAACTAATTTGCTTAGAGGCATTATAGATATGACGAACAAAAGGCATTCTTTTGATGAACCATTCCCCAAGACCTAAAACAGATGCCCCCAACCATGATGACATGAATACTCCAACCAAGAAAATGAAAGTGATTGAGGTCACAAATCCGAGACCTGGTCAAGATATAGATGTAAACAAAAAAATATACTGCAGTCAAAACAGGGTATCTACCAAGTTTTCACAACATCAAACAAAAACATAAGACCAGAAAAGAAAAAAGATCCATGGTTGAAGAAAGATGTTTCAGACTCATTAATAAAATTTATACTCTGCCTTTTCAACCATATTGGTTCTTGTCTTGCATGGCAATTGTTACAAGTTAAATATCACAACAGTTTATGAGAATAAAACTAGCCACACGATCTCTTCTTGAAGGGAAAATAAGCTTACCAAATATATTGATACCAAGCTGCAGATAGATGGGGGAGAAAAAGCTATCCACAAAGTGAATAAACCACCATGTTATATAAAATGTCACTGCTATTGGAAATAGAATGACACTGCAAAGGAAGATCAGTCAGCAACTATTACCATAGATTAGCAGAACAAGTGCAAACAGAGAAGGTATTTTATAATTTGAACTACTGCAGGATACAAACAAAAACACTCATGAGAAGAAAATATCTGAGCTGCATCTCATAGAAACATGTGCAGCGTGTGATAAACCAGCTAAGATCAGCCAAGTTTCAACAGTTATTATGGATGGCAGTAAATGAAGAAAAGGTGTGAGTGAGTTAAAAGCCTAACCCAAAGTATCCGTAAAATTATGGATTTTTATCTAAAGTATCAAAACTATGAATAATAATTGCGAGCAACCTTTTAAAAGAAAAATCAATATTCAATATAGTTCATGTGCTATATTTGTTTGTTTGCAAATTTTATGTGTCTTCATGTAGGAAATTTATTGCATATGCTACAAATCCAAGAACACAGCAACATCAGACTTTATATCTCACAATACATCAATTACAGTTCTGCCTCACTTGGACAACCATAAGAATAGAAACTAAAATCTTACATTCTTACTATATGCAGAATTTATCAGACACGTTAGGAAAGACCTGCTATATACATACTTATGTAGTGTCTCACTTAAAGTATCAAACATAATTATGCATCAAAGGAAAGGAATGTTCTCACCATCCAGTCATGAATTTCTTTGAAGCCCAACTCCTAACAACTTTGTAGAAAGTCTGCAAAGATAACAGAATATACAGTTTTTGTTAGAAGTAAACGAATTTGCGTATCACAATAGCTTCCAGTAAGATCATTCAAACTGAAATGAGTAATCTAAGAAATTTGGGTATCACAATAGCTTCCAGTAAGATCATTCAAACTGAAATGAGTAATCTAACTTGCTTCTCCGTACATAATTCAATAGTAAAACCTTCCCAGACATCACCAAAACTCAAAAGTGCCTTGTTTTCCTCTTAAAAGAAAAACAAGAAACTAACAAACAAATGAATTGCGGCTTTTTCAACTTTTATACGAAAACAGGCAGCACCATAATCAATAGATCGCACTTATAAACAAAATTAAAAGTTCCCTATTCCCAATCCCAATACCCTTCATCAAACACAGCTCAAACTCCCTAATACCCCACTACCCAAACCCTAACCCTACCCCAAAGTCTGGGAAAAGAACATCTGATCAAAACAAATCAAATTATCAACCGAACTACACGCGCAAGACCAGAAGTGGGGGAAAATATTCTCTCTTTCTGCTAAAATTATGCACTTGAATACAAAAATTCTAGATTTCCGAACACACGGCGTGCTCTACCTCGCGGCCGGAATGAAGGTGGTGAGCAGACGCGGCGGAGGACGACGGCTTGGAGTCATGGTCGTCAACGCCGCCGGCGGAGACAGCCACGGGTATGAGAAGCTCCCGATCTCTTTCTCTACTGGAGTTCCCAATAGTACCCACCATCCCCGATTTGTCATCTCCCATTACTTTCCTCCGCAAACCCAATTTCAGACTCTTCTTTGCTCAGTAGTCTACAGATTTCAACAGTCTCTCTCTCTCTCTATCTCTCCCCTTTTCTCTCTCTATCCCCCCCTAATCTCTCATATATAGCTTTAGCTGTATGCACATCAATAACTAAAGAGTTTTACTTTTATTAAATGTGATTCTATAGATTATTTATATTGAACATTGTAACAAGGGGTATTGTTGGGTAGTGCGACAGGGGAGAAATTCAAGAAAACTGTTGTCAACAATTTCTATTTTTTTTTTTTTAATTTCCTTAAATTACATCATTAGACTGTCATACATAGGATTAGGACATAATCAAACGGTTTATTCAAAGATGATAATTGATAAGGAATTAGGTTGTGTTTGGTTAGTCTATGCAGCCATGCACATGTATACAAACGTTTTCGGTGAGCTGTATCCAATCATTCTTTGCCAGCTCTGCTACCCAACGCCACAGAGGGATTAAACTAATATTAATTGTATCTGAAAATATATTTTCTAAAAATTAGTAGCATCTTAGAATCTTAAAATCAAAGAAAAAGTCAAATAAGTTATTGAATTGCATGCAAAGATACAATTAAACTATTGAATTTTAAAACAAAAAGTGATATTAACCCATCAAACAAGCTAATATTGTTCAATTATAAAAGTTTGTCACTATTGAACTTCATCCCATACCGGAGCAAAGTTCGTCTCTGATCTAAGAGATGAAACATCGTCTCCCATATTTGAGCTTTTGTCTTCGTCTCATATGAAGCTTCTCTAATGCTTTATCTTGGAAGATAGTTGTTTTTTGAAATAATAATAATAATAATAAATTGTTTCAAGAGATTGTTTGCATGGATAAAGATGTTTTAAAAATTACATATAAGTCACATAAGTATGTGACTAGTAATTTATAGGTATAATATGTCATTTTGATATAATTGTACGATTTAAATTTGTTTGAAGGGTTAATTGTACTACTATTTTTTGTATGGTTCAATTACAATTTCATGTATAGCTTAGTAATTTATGTGATCTTTTTTCATAAAATCAATAATCATAATCATAATATCTAAATGCCTTACATTTTACTACATTTTGCACCATCTTTTAATAATAAAAAATTGAAATATATTTGATAAAAAAAATATGTCTATTCTATATATTTTGATTAATTGATTATCAAATTAATGAGTCTTCTAATTTAACAATAAATGCTTACTACAGTTTATCTACTTAGATTGTGTGGTTAATTAGCAAGGAGTCTCATTCGTCTTCTAATGTTATATTAACTTGATATATGACCATGCGAAATATTAAAGTGTCTCCAACATACATTTATGTACTTTGCAACTAAAATTGTTCACATTTGACTTGAACATTGAACTCAATAACTCATAAAGAAGTACATACATCATGTGAACTTATAATAATTTGAACTCAATTTTGCTTCTAAATTAACGGAATAACGGTTGGACTTTTAGTTTAACTGATAGAGATAGGATGGAAAAAAAATCAAGAAAATAAAATAAGAATGAGATAGATAATAACAACAACAACCATAATAATAAAGGAAATTTTGCAAGCTTGTTTAGTATCTAAATAATATTTTAATATTCACGATGGAGACGAATAATGCGGTCCAAAAACACATAAAGTACAGTATTCTAACTCATAAAATACATTATTTTAACACATAAACTACATTATTATAACTCACAAAAACATTATTTTTACCTCAGAAATTTTATTATTCTAAGACATATAAAGTACATTATTCTAACACATAAAGTAGATTATTCTAACTTATAAAATACATTATATTACCCCAGAATGCTCATTATTAATTATAACACGCACATGGAGCAAGAATTTATTTTTTTTAATATCAAAATGACGTCGATTTGGACCGTTGGGACCACATAACATTGTGGACCCTTGATCAAAACGACATCGTTTTGATGTTTAAGCGATTATGTAGTTTCTTGTTTCTCATGTTTTAACACAATTTTTAATTTATTCTAAATACATAATCAATACTTTTAAAGTACAGAATTTCATAACACAAGACACATAGACATATTATATATTTACTTATTCTCAAATTTGATTTATGTAAATAATATATGTTGTATATGCATATAATTTCATAATACAAGACATAAATTTGTAAAATACAACATACAATATGTTGTGTGTTACAAACTACTAATATATTTCAGGTATAGAATATATACGCTTAAAGTATGAAATTGTATAACATGAAACATAGAAACACATAACACAAGACACATACACATCTTTACAAGAGCAAAAAAAACAAAAAAAAAAAAAACAAAAAAAAACAAAACATGTAACGTGAATTGAACAACAAACGGTCGTTGTCAATATTAAAATTCAAAACTACGTCGTTTAGAACCATGGTCCACTGTGGTTAATTGGGTTTAATTTCATCAATTTAGTCCTGAGAAGGATTTAATTGATTAAATTTTAAACAATTCGAGGATCAATTTAGTTGAAATTAAAAACTAAAAACTACATTGACTATTGACAAACAATTGAGAGATCAAAATAGCAAGGTTGAAAAAATCGCTAAGCGCCCTCTAGGCGTCTGGGGACCGCCTAGGATGCCTAGAGCGCCTAGGCAGGCGCCTAGAGCGATTAATCGGCGCCTAGAGCGCCGACCGCCTAGGCCTGATTTGTGCAACACTGCAAAATAGTCTTCATTATCACCCCATTTCTTGTGAACTGACACTCTTAGATACTCTGGAATTCTATAAATTTAATTGACCATTCAGTTTGACACATCCTAATAGTTGGATTTGGAAAAAGGAAATTCCCAAATTTTTCTCCTTGTATCAGCATGACAAGAGTGAGTATAGCTATATACAGATTAGAAGTTGAAATCCAGAATAATGTAACATTTACACAGCAAAATCTGCTACTGTATCCTCAATCATACCACACAACACCTGCTTCTCTATCTCACCTATTATCTTCTCCACTTCATCTGAACTGAATCCTTTACTCCAACCCAAATCCCATGTCCCACTCACCACTCCCTTGCACCATTGATCTTTTCTGGTTAACGAACAAAGTGTATCGACACCAAGGGCTCCAGCAGGATCTTCATAGCTCCTCAAACCTTCAATCACCTCGCAGATTTCAGAAACCAGCATGTCAAGGGAGACACCATCTCCAGATCTTCTAACCGATAATGGATCGAAAGACAGTGTGCATTGCGCCTTCTTGTTGCTCAATAGTTCGCAGGCACAATCGAGCAACAGTTTTGTCTCCACCGTTCCATTCTGTGAGCAATCATGTTTGAAGGATGATGCAGCTCCAGGCTGCCATGCATCAGTACCAAAAAGCTCTTCTGCTTGGCTCAGGAACGATGCACTGCTTAGCAGTAAACTTCTCGTGCAAGATTTTGATTCAATATTGATGTCACATTCGACAGTTAGCACGTTGGGGTCACAGGGAAGAGTTTCATCACTGATTTGATCATCTGAAATCAAAGACAAATTAACTGCAGATAAGTTTTTGGGTTGAACTACAGATAAGTTTTTGGATTTTGGAAGACAAATTTAATGCAGATAAATAGTGGTTACTTTTAAGTTTTTAGTAGTAGGAGCAAAAACGACGGGAGTAACTGCCTTACCAGTGATGTGATTCTCATAAACAACAGAAGCTTCGGGGGAATAAACTTTCTCTGATGCTTCAACTTTGGTTTCTGTTTTGTAAGTCTCTTTCTTGTCCCCCTTATTTTCAACCTGCTTTGTCACCCACTGTTATTGTGGGGCAACACCAAAAAGGATAGAATGTTATTAAGTAAAATTCTCAACACCGGTCTCAAATTGCACAAATGGCTATGAAAAATTGAGAACAAGAAAAAGTTTGATATAAAACTTGAGGCTTTAGAAGCAACAATAGCTATAGAGGAATTCCTTACTGGCTTGTCTGTTTTCATATTCTTCTTATTTCTGGAGTTATGAGATGCAGCACGCTTTGAAGCAAGATCTGAAGAGCTATTTTTTTGCTGTGTATCTGATTTTCTGAGTTTAGCAGAGGCGTTCTTGTCTATGTCACAAGATTTAGCTGCATTCCTAACTTTGGGATTTTTCATTCCTTCTGTTTTCCTCAAATTAGGAGTCACCTTCTGAATCTTGTCGAGCTTTTTATCAGTAGCTTCTTTCTTCTGTTGCCTAGGCTTCCCAGGATCAGAAGCCTTGGCCTTAATAGAAGACAGTTTTGCATGAACCTTGGTCCCATTTTCATTTGGATATTTGGGTGTTTTTCTATGTTCCTTAGCTCCTTTTTCCTGAATGGAATTTGCTATTTGACCATTTTTTGCTGTCCAGCTTCTAGAGTTGGGTAAAAAGTCTTCTCTTCTGCTTCTCCTAACCTTTTCTTCAGTGACAGAAGCACATTCGAAGCGGGGAGCACTTCCATAAAACCTTTCTCCATGAAGTTCAGGAGCATAAAAAGGCCTCATAATCACGATTGGCGGGGAACCATCATCAAACCTCTCTTCCAAATCTGAAACAGTGTGGTGCTTTGACCCATCCATAAGCTTGCTTTTCAATAGCCCTTTGAGTTGCATGGTTTCGATGATCTCTTCCAGAGTTTTGCGTTTGGGATCCGCCTTCTGGATGACAAAAGGAGGTTTCTTTGCCTTTGGCAAAGGCAGATCAATTTCGAATATAGGCCGCCTTTGGTTGAAAAGCCTGTCCTTCTCTAACTGTTTCTGGGAAGTTGATTGGAGAGGCTTTGAAGAAATTTCTTCAAGACCCATAAGTTTGGCAATCAAGTTTGGACCTTTAGGCTTCTCCTCTTTAAAAGGCAGGGAATTGGCAAAGATGGAAGATTGGCTTGAGCTAGTAGAAAGAGGATCAGGAGTGAAAGCCAGTTTTCTTCTGTCAAAACAAGCCTTTTGAAATGAAGATTGGCTTGAGCTAGTGGAGGGGAGATCTGGGGATAACAATTCCAGTTCTCTGCATTCAAAAGAAACTCTCTTGACAGGATAGCTTGGTGGCAACAAATTCTGTCTAGCAAAGCTCTCTCTTATCACCTCCCTCAGCTCCTCATAGCAATCCCCCGACGCCCCATCAACAGAAAACCTCGGTTTCTCAAACTCCATCTCATGATACCTCTGACCTCCAATTCTTTCAGATTTCGCCCTCCCAATCTGTGATGCTTCCTGCAATTTCCCCAGCATCACTAGAGACTCCTGCAAATCAAGAGCCCCTTTCAACAAGTCCTTTGCAATATCTTTCGACTGCCTCTCAAAGCTAACCCCTCGTGACCACAACTCAATCACTCGGTTTAGCTTCTCAGCTCCTTTAGACACCTCCTCGAGCTGCACAGACGACACACAACTTAACTCTTCTGCACACCCTTTCCACGCCATTTCTTTCCTTCCTCCCTTCTTCGATTGTGCTCTTTGTTTTACAACACGATCGTCCATCTTTGAGGGTTCGGTCTTGTTTTTTCTAATAGTCTTACACTCAACAACACCTCTGGGATCATCACATCTGACAAATGATCTGTATGACTTCAGACTGTCTTGAGGCATATTCTAAAAGCACAATTTTTTTTTTTTTGCAGAAACAGTCAAACAATGATTCTAACATTCAGCTCAAAGAGTAAATAAAATCAAGAACGATTCTAGCGTTGCCAAATGTACTTTACCTACATAGATTAGTATATCGCAAATAGGCTGTCGAATGTATTGATCCAGACAGACAAGCAACAGCTCTTCTGCAGCTCTAAATCACAGCAAGCATATGAAAGAAAACATAAAGAATTAAATGCCGGCTAAAAAGAACAACAATCTAATATCCAATTAGAAAAAAACAAGCTTTATCAACCCAGAAACTATAAAGAATTAAAAACAATATATAAACCCAAAATCAACATCAACCTTTCACTCTCCTATTGAAAAATTCAGAAACTATGGACTGATCTACATTCTTAATTCTCACAAATATTCTTAGGAATCCTCAAAAGCAATTTAGGAAAAATAGAGAGTCAGATATAATGGTAAAACCCAAAGCCAATGGATCTACATAAGAAGCTTAAAAAACCAATCTTTATTACAGTGGTAATAACTATATCTCAATAAGTTGATTGTTTTTGCTCCTCTGCCAAAAAAGGCCAGAGTTTTCAATGCTCCCTTTATCATCCTTGGACCAAAAAAGAAAAAGAAAAGGAACCAAACCAGAATCCTTAAAACCACAACATCAAACCAGAAATCTCAAAATTCCTAAACACATGAAAAAAGGAACTGATCAAGACCCATTGTAGTAGCAGCATTAGTGTTGCACTTCAAGTCTCACCTGCATTAGTAATGGTCTTAGGCTGAGAAAGACAGAAACCTCAGATCCACCAAAAAACTTAGAAAATAAGAATATCTCACTACCCTATGATTCTTGACTCTCTCTTTTTTTGGGTTCTCAACCCACCACCACAATATCTCAGTAATTTAAAGAACCAAAAACCCACGGCTCATCTTTCATTGAACTTTGTTTTTTTAGTATAATTAATAGAAACAGTTATAAAAGAAATGAGAGAACTAATGAGGAAACGTGGGTGGTTGATAAACAAGTGGTGTGCTTTGTCTTTATGTGAGATTGCAGTGCTGTAAAGCAAAATAAAAATGAGAGCTTTGAAGAGGAAAGGTCGGATCACAGGCGCAGAAACAACACACAGAACACACTCACTGTGTGTGTGAAAATACAAAGAGAAAGAGAACTACCGGGGGGCGGATGTGCCCGTGAAAGTATTAAATATTGGAGCTTTTTGAACTTGGGGAGGAGAGGAGCATGAAGAACTGGAGTCTGGAGATTCTTTGCCAGGAAGAAAAGTTTAAAAGTTCAGTCCCAATGCAGCAATGTATAGAGGGAGGAGTACGTGTTTTTGTGTTCTCGAAATGAGTGGCCTATTATTGTGTGTCATCATGACAAGGAAACATCGTATAATCAATTGATTAACGTATGATTAGATTGAGGTTTACTCTGTTCTTGGTCTAACCCAGATTAATTAAAAGAGCATTAATTACTGTGATTGAGATCCCACAAGCGGCGGCCCTAAGCTAAGATGGCAAAATATTTGGTAATCTTCAAGTACCAATAAGTGGCAATGAATATGACAGCTGAATTACATTACATTGGTGCCCGGGCATAATTCAACTGGTACCCAAAGTTTATTATTTGAACCTAAGTTTTTTTTTTTTTTTTTTTTTGGGCAGTTATATGGTGAGGATTAACATAATTATTATATGGACTTACATTGTAAGACAGACCACTAATATATTAGGGAGTAATTTTTAATATATCGAAACTTCATTTTTAATGGATTATAGTAATCGTTTATTTTTTGAAGGTTTATTTTCAATGTACGGTAGATTTAAGTTCTGTATGTTATTATTTTTGAAAAAAAGTTAGTATGCTACTTAAAAATGAACATATAGTGAGCAAAACCTTACTCATGTGGTCAAATTGTTCATTTGATGATAACCACAAGATTACATGTTTGACTTCCCACGGGAGTGATCTGTTGATCTTTTTGGTTTGAGTCGGTCAGCTTTGGGCAACTTAGGTTGCTTTATCTCATTGTGGTTCTTTGCTGATTAGAGTCACAAGATGAGATTTATCTCGTGCACACCATTAGTTAGTGGTTGTGAGTTTCCCTCATTACTAGAAAAAAAAAATTTATAATACATTAAAAATGAACATTTATTAGTGTTCCATCTTACAATGTATTATTACTTCCATTAATCTTTAATCAGTGTTGTAAAAATCAGCTTAGGCACCCCTAAGCCGAGGCAATTTTAGTCCTACGCAGCTTTTAGTTGGCTGGCCGACTAACGGGACGACTAGGTGCTGATTGGGGTGCCTAACTCCGCCTAGTTGGCGCCCAATTCAACTGAGTGATATTTTTTGTCTTGCTCGGTTGCTCCTCTTCTATATTCTTCCCATCATATATTCAACTAACCATTTAACATATATAATTGACTAGTTTGCGTGATTATAATAATCTAACAACTCACAACCCTGAGTGAAAAAAGTAGAAATGATATATTCAAATTACTTGATCGCCTAGAAGGCGCTAGGTGCCCCTGAGCATCCAACTAACACCTAGCGCCTTCTACAACATTATCTTTAAAATATGATTGAACTAAGCACATAGAGTGTTGAATCCTAACATCCTTGATAAGCAATCCAACGGTCAGCACTATCAAAATTTGGTTAAAAAAAAAAATAATTTTGACGAAAACAATGTTGAAGAATGGTGTTGTAAAATGGGCGCGCAATGATTAATAAAATGTAATTCAAAGTATGATAGAAAATGAAAGTGAGGAAATGAATGAAGGCATCTACCCCACTATAAAGAAGCAATTATTGTAAGCTTGCAAATTAAAGCCAAGTCCAATTCAAGTCAAAAAGAAAGGAAAGAATAAAGAATAACAGTCTACATACACCACCCCCCTAGCTTCTTCATTTAAAAATTTTAAAATTATATTCAACTCAACTCTATAATGAATATAGTGGGACTATTGATTAACTATTGAGTATTGACCCACCAATAAATGTTTTGATATGTTTCTTCATCTTCCTCTTCTATCTCGTAGTTATTATTATAAAATAAAAATAAAATAAAATAATTGAGAAAGATTCAATACAGAATAACATTATATGCAGTGATTATTTTAAGGGTATGTTTGAAAAATTAAAAAATAATTTTCAAAAGTTATTTTATTAATTTTTTCGTATTTAGATATTCAAGAAAAATAAAGTCAAAGAAAACAAATTCAATTTGGCCAAAAACGTCTTCATATTTTTTTAGTCAAAAAACCCTTTTAAGAATCTTTATTTTCCCACTTCTCATGTCACTCTTTTTTTTTTTTTTTTTCAAGTTAGTTTCCAAATTACTATAATCACCATGACACCACAACAACACCACCACAAATTATTATTATTATTATTATTATTTAACAAATAATATTTTCGTTTTCAAGAAAATTAAAAAAAAAAATGTAATTTCTTAACTTTCAACCAAACAACAAAAGATAGTTTTCTGATACCTTCAATCAAACACCAGAAAATTAAAATATTTTTTTCAAAAAACGAGTCATTTTTCAAAAAATATTTTTTAGTCTTCCAAACGGACCCTAAAAAGAGTTTTTTTTTTTTTTTTTTTTTTTTTTTTCCAATTTTGATTCCTTGAGTATTGTACATTTCTTACGTTTGGTTATCAACTATTAATTTTTTCATATTTGGTGCATGATATCAAATTCCTTCCACTTTTAAATTTTAATCAATTTTTTGACCAACCTTAACCAAAATCTTGCACACGATAGTTATGTGATTTATTTGAATTTATGCAACATATAAACAACACAACTGAAAATAGTATTCTTGGGAGGTTAACGTTGATAAAAGTCAAACAAGATTGACAAGAAAATTGACGATCGAAATAACTAAATATGGTAAGAATTTGATAGCCATACATAAAATATATATAAAAAAAAATTAATAACTAAAGATAAAATGCAAATAAATACAAAAGTCGATGCACCAAAATAAAAATAATCCACGCTAGGAAGTTTGAGTAAAGAGTAAAATTAAATTTGGAGGTTTAATTTGTGTAGTATTTTACATTTATGAACCATGAATGTAGCTGTACCATGATGCAATTAAGTATATATAACTGTATAAGAGTATAAGGCTGACATATATTAGGTGGTAGAACAGGAGAAATTGCATGAAACAAAGGGTACAAACATAGCCATTGGCTAGTATATATTAGATTAAGATAAGATATAACAAAATCATGTTTGACCATCACTTTCATCTTCTATAAAGAGCTAGCTAGGCTAGGGAAAAAGTAAATGCCATCTTTTATATGCAAAATACCACTCCCGCCATCTTAAATTATAACCCTTTTTCTATTCAAAATATTAATTACTAAACAATTAAATTACTTAAATATACTGTGCAGTGTGGAATGGGTATTCGGTAGGGGCCGGGCTTTGCCCAAAGCCTACTTTCGAGCTTTCGCACAGATTCATCCAATCATTATTCTGTGGACCTATATTTTGTATATAGTATAAAATAATATACATTTAATATATTAAAAATATATTTGTATTCAGAGGATGCATTTTATGTGAATACTAAAAGTACATTATTTTATATAATGTAAATTCAGTACACAAATAATATATTTTTAGGGAACGATTGGGCGACGCCACTGCAAGAAGTCCGGCCGCCGTCGGAGGTGTCATGCGCCGCTGCCGCAGGACTGCTCCGACTCCACGCACCGGCGCGTGAGGCGGTTTCCGGCGACGTCTCCGGTCGATTCTTGGTGCGTCAGTCTCGCCTCGCCGTGCTGGTTCCAGGGAGGTGGGATGTGTTGAAGGTTTCCGATCTGGTTGGCTCGTCTATTGAAAGAGGTACGCAGTGTGTATTTTTCTGTACTGTGTGAAGAGAGTTGTGCTGGTTTTTGTTTTGACTTTGCTGGGTGAAGATTAAAAATGGCACAAGAAAGGAATATCACAGTGATTTCCATGCCATCTAAATTAATCGACATAGTTTTGGCCCCAGATGGGTCTAATTTTCATGAGTGGAGGTTTTTGGTTAAAGTAAATTTAGATGGTATGGGAAAGGGTGATCATCTGGAAAAAGAGTGTCCTACAGATGCGACAGCTGGGGACTGGAAAACTACTGATAAAGCGTTAATGTCACGTGTAATTAATTGCATTGAAACTTGACATGGCCAAGGCCTACGACCGGATGGAGTGGGGTTTCTTGAAGGGGATGCTCGCGACTCTAGGTTTCGACCAAGGGTGGATCGAGCTACTTATGATGTGTGTCACGACTGTGGCTTACAACATTCAGGTTAACGGGAATTCGGCGGGACCAATAATTCCGACCCGAGGCATCCATCAGGGCGATCCACTATCTCCCTACCTCTTCATTTTGTGTGTTGAGGGGCTATCCATCTTACTACAGCAAGCCGAAGCAAGAGGTGACATCCATGGTGTCAGAATTGCACGTGGTGCCCCAGCTGTATCACATTTATTCTTCGCGGATGATAGCTTACTTTTCTTCAGAGCTACACCCGCGGAGGCCCAGAAGGTCAAAGATTGCTTGGAGATGTACAGTGCAGCTTTGGGACAAACTATCAACTACGAGAAATCCAATGTCATGTTCAGTACAAACACAGACCACGATACTCGACGGACAGTAGCAGAATGTGCAGGGGTCCAGGAAACCACGGATTTAGGCCGTTATTTGGAACTGCCTTCGGCATTGGGGCGTAATAAAACAGCGACGTTCCACTTCATCGAGCAGAAAGTTCTTGAGCGAATCGGAGGATGGCAACAGAAGCTTCTTTCTAGAGCTGGCAAAGAGGTACTTCTAAAGAGTATAGCGCAGGCTTTACCTATATTCACCATGTCTGTTTTTTTGTTGCCTGAACGGGTCTGTTCTACTATTGAAAAGTTGTTTAATCGTTACTGGTGGGCGGAAACGGAACCGGGAACTCTAGCATTCACTGGATGAGTAGGAAACGCTTGTCTATCCCCAAAAAACATGGTGGGCTGGGATTCAAACGCCTCCACGAATTTAATCTGGCTTTATTGGCGAAACAAGGCTGACGGTTGTTAATTCACCCGAGCTCCCTTGTGTCGCGGTTGTTGAAGGCGAAGTATTATCCACATTGCGACTTCCTTGACGCACAACTTGAAAACAATCCAAGTTATTTATGGCGGAGCATATTGGCAGGTCAACCACTTCTGAAAGTAGGAGTTGCAAGGCGAATTGGTAATGGCATGGATTCCACAATCTGGGGTTGGCCATGGCTCTCGGACTCGGCTAATCCAGCACTACATACCCCATGCGTAGAAGCTCTGAAGGAGGTGACGGTAGATGGTCTGCTAACATCGCAGGGAGAGTGGGATATGGAAGTTCTGCACGATCTCTTCCTCGATAGCGACGTTGCCCGAATTGTGGCAACACCGGTCTCGATACAATACTCGGACTCTTGGCGATGGAAGGACGATATCCGAGGATTATACACGGCACGACATGGCTATCAGATTCTTACGGCGACCAATGGGGAGACGATCACAGCAGGTGGCTTCACGAAATGGCAACAGCTATGGAAACTGCCGATTCCTCCCAAGGTAAAAAATCTGTTGTAGAGATGTGCGAGAGCTATCCTTCCGGTCAAAGAAATCCTTAAGGTACATAAAGTATGGATTGGTGGGGGGTGCACATTTTGCGGCTTCCCACTAGAAACGATAGAACATTTACTGTGCGACAATGCCACTGCACGACAGGTGTGGGGAGAAGACGATGTTCCACGGGGTCGATCCATACAAGGATTGATGGAAGATATTCTGGGAACTGCAACACTGGAAAGGGCTGTGCGCATGGCAGCGATCTTCTGGACGCTATGGATGACACAGAATGATCAGATCTGGAAGGCAGAATACAAAACTATACACAGTCTCCGAGTTCAGGTCTGTGCGTTGCAGCAACTCTGGAAAGCTACGCGATTAACACCAAATGTCGCCAGAGCGGATGGTTCAGGTCCAGCCAATTGGGTCCCACCACCTTACGGATGGATCACATGTAATGTTGATGCTGCTCTCTTCGGAACTGGTGCAGGATTCGGTGCGGTGATACGTGATCATGCGGGGTGGTTTATTGCGGCACATGGCGGTAGATTGGGTTGTCTGCAAGACCCTCTCTTAGCTGAAGCAACCGCTGTTGTTAGAGCCTTGAGTTGGATCAAGAGTTTGAACTTGAATAACGCATTAGTAGAGACTGACTGTTTAAATTTCTCTACTGCTTTTAATTCTAGTTGTAATGATTTTTCTTATGTCGGTTCCATTGTAACGTAATGTTTAAAGATTGCTAGTGATATTGGGAACGTCAGAGTTCGCCATATCAAGAGGTCAGCGAATCAGGTCGCTCATGTACTAGCTAGGGCAACTGATTCCCCGTCTGTCCTAGGGTCGTGGTTTAATCACCCGCCCTCGTGTATTGCTTCTCTTTTCAATCGTTATACCCTACACCACGGCGCACATAGCACTGTGCGCCGCACGCCTCCCAAAATGACGTCGTTTTGGGGTCGTTTTAGGAGGCGCGGTAGGAAGTTGCTGGGATTATGTGTATTTATTCACACAGTTATGTGTATTTGTTCATACAGTTATGTGTATTGATTCATACAGTTATGTACATTTTCTATACAATTATGTACATTCTTTTTATACAATTATGTACATCCGAATCAGAAAATTTGTGTGTATTATGTTAATAGTTGATGTGTATTATGTTAAAAGTTTATGTTTATTATGTATTATGTTACATTATGTGTATTATCCTTTAAAAAGAGTATGTATATTTTTTTATATAATTATGTACATTCATGTATACAATTATGTGTATTCTAGTATAACATTATGTACATTCTTGAACAGCGGATTTTTTTTTTAAAGAAAAAACTACTGTCATTTACTGGGGCGGAAAATTTCAAAAAAAAAATAAAAAAATAAAACGACGTCGTTTTGCATCTGGGTGCATAGTGCAACGCGCACCGTGGTGTAGGATATAAATTGCCTTCTCTTTTGGTTTATTAATGATATTGTTACGTTTTGTTTCAAAAAAAAAAAAAAGGACAAATTATTGTGTGAACCATGATCTACACAATAATACATAGACCATAACAAAAAATACATTTTTAATATACTAAATGTACATTATTTTTGTACTGAATGTACATTATACAATATAATGTACACTCAGAACAAAAATAATGTACATCCCCTAAAATTCTGAATACAATATACATTATTTTTGTACTGAATGTACATTATTTTACAGTAGATAAAATAAGGCCCACACAATATGATTGTTAAAAATGTATTTTCTTTTATGTTCCACACAACAATTTGCCCAGGTTGATCAGGCTATTCACAAAGATTAGGTTAAAACCCAACAATACAAAAGACGAATAATTTTCCAATATTTTTAAGGTTTTTTTTTTTCATTGGTTCAACAATGGATCTCAAAACAGAATAGTCTCTATATGATAAAAACATTAACTTGACTACCTGGTACAGGAAGATGGATAATTACAAACAAAAAAAACTCTAGTCACTGCATGAAAAAAGTTTCATAAAAACAAATTCCATCCAATTATTTCCATGTTTCATCACTCACAGATCATGATGTGTATTCAAAGGCCGGCGGCGGCTGAGGTTCGTCGTCGACATTCATGGCGGCGGCAGCAGCTGCAGATCCGCCGGCAGCATTTGATGCGGTGGAGGGCGCATCAGTAAGGGACAGGACTTCAGGTTCTTCAGGCCTAAGATCCTCTAGTAATACAAACCCTGAAGGAGAAGATAACTTTATCGGAACATATCTGCTATCCTCCAAAAATTTAATGCATTTCTCCTGTGCTGGAACCACCCTCGCAGGATTTGTTAGAATTTCGAAAGATGCCTCGGGTTCTGTCTTCTTCTCTGCAGGAGCATCCACCTGCCAATATATATATATATATATATATATATAAGTACACATTTGGTGAGTGTTAGATCTCAGGCATTATGCTTACTCCCCAGGGTCCCCATCTTGTGATTGTAAGTTAAAGCACACTTAATCACAAAGTTCTTTGGCTATCTGGTTGTCATATCCTACTTAAAACCAATTGGTTATAAGTAAGTGAACATTAATCATTTAACTACATCCCTCCATGGTAAGCTAACAGTGCCCACGTCTCGAATCGAGTAGGGGCTGAACTCGGCCAACCCGGCCGACGCCCAACGGTGAGCAAACAAAATATCGTAAGACAAATTTAAGAGAAGCATTAACAGAGTGTTTGGTTCATGGAATAGGTCAGGAATGGAATAACATTCTTAGAATATACCTGCATGGATTCTCCATCCTTATCAGTGGACTTCCCCTTCACAGAACCCGAAGGTTCGGCTCCAGAAGTCTTCTCAGCATTTGCTTTCTCAGCTTCTTTCTTGCTAGCCCTGGCCTTTGCTCTTGCAGATGTTGATAAGACCGCCGTGGGGAGTTTTACTGTGGAAGTTGTGGCGGCTACGGTAGTCGGTTTGGGATACTCAAATAGCGAGGGCTTGGCATGAGACATGAACTCAAACGTTGGGACCTTGAGGTCGTAATTTAGACCGATAAAAGCAGTGGGTGAGAATGCCAAGCTGACGAAATATATAAGCGGGTACCAGTACCAAAACTGGCTGAAAACAGCGAGTCCAACAATCGCAGTGATCTTATCATGTTTCGTCTTTGAAAGTAATTTTATGGTCACATTTCTTCCCCCAGCATCGAGTATTCCAGAGGCCAAAATTGCACCCATTTTGCTCATGGTATCTTCATGCTTATCCAGAATAATTTTCTCCAGTTGCCGCCTAAACATATAAGGAAGATTATAAACTGAAGACAAAAAAGAATACCACTTTGAACGTGTAATAAACTAGGGTCACTCAATTGGACTATAATGCACATGGGCCAAACAACACTAAAAGATTGAATCCAACCAATTAACTAGTCTAACATATGGCCTTATAAACCCATATGTAATACGTTCTCTCTTATTTTATCAATGTGGGACTCTTAACAGAACGAGAAAGGAGAAGAACATGTCAAGATAGAGTACCTGAATGTACCAACTCGTGAATCACTTGCTTCACTGGTCTGAACCATTACCATAGCCATTGCTATAAGAGCACCCTGACGAACAAAATCAACAACATCGGACGTCAAAGGCTCTAGTAGCGAGATGGCTTCGCTAAGGCCAGTACCAGCACAAGAGATGCCTACAGCCAATGCAGCACCATATCGCACGTGCGGATTGTAAGATTCAGATAGCAGAGAAACAATACGAGGCACCTGCAAATTCAAGGTAATTAAAGAACAATTTAAGGAAAACAAGAAACCTTCATGTAAAGAAATTAACCTTGCAAACTACTGGACCAAATATAGAAACACACGAGTAACAAGATCAATCCAAATTTGTCCCAATCAAAAGCACCAACCTGTTCTGGTTCAGAATAAAGAACAAATCCAAGAGCCAAAACAGCAGTTCGCCTGACATCATCACTAACATCTGATACAGCAAAATGTAGCAACTGGCGGATAGCCTTATTATTTGCTGTTCCTCTGTATGCCAATGCCAAAGCATACATGCCACCATAGCGCAATATAGGGTCTTGATCCCGAGTCATTTGCTCAATCAGTGTATCGGCTTCTTCCTCTCTTCCATAAACAGTGAGGGCTATCCCCAATGCTAGGCCCCTATAGACATCCAATAGAAGAGCATACAAACGGTAAATAAAACAACGGTTATAGGATCATAGTCCCAAAAGAATTGCATTTCAGATGCCAATACCTGATAATCTTCTCATGCTGAGTCTCATGAGCATAAGCAAGCATCTCGCCTGCCTTCTCACTTGCAGTTCCAACCATCAGTAACCCCATGCCTATTCCAGCAGCTTCACCAGCAACAGCACTGTCAGTGTAAAGCACAGTCTTTATGTCATCGTAGACGTCTTCATCTGCAGTGCCCAAAGCAGCCAACCCAAGACCTAAACAAGCACCATGCTGAATAACCTGCAGCAAGAGAACTCACATATAAAACAAATTGCTGGAGATTTTTTCAGGCAAACAAGCATCGTTTTCAGACAGATCACCTCAACATTTGTGCTCCGTAAGCTATCCCGAAGAAACTGCTTGATCCCCTCCCCATGATTGGCATGGATTAACCCTAGAGCATATAAAGCACCACCTTCCGAATATGGACTGCCACCTCCACCAGCTCCACTCTGTGGCAAGTAAGGTGCCATCAAGGATCTACCCTGCTGCAAGTGACCACTGTGAATAACACCTAGTCCAGCTGTCGCACTAAATTTGGCCCAATTGGTTGCTCTGCTGAGCCAGTCCTGAGAAAAGTATATATTTGTGTAAAATCAATAGATGATCATATATGTACAGCACTATTAGGTAAAAGTAGTTAAAATTATTTATTACCAGATTTTCCCTAAGGAATGTATCAACAGTTGTTCCAGCATGCATAATAGCATTAGCGTATATTGTTGCACTGTGGCAAACACTGTTTCTCATCTCAACAGACTGCTTAATTGTCTTGAGAATTAGGAGATCCGATCTATATGAGAATATCAAGAATATGAATACTAATTATTTGACAAGTCAAACAACAAAATTTAGCACATGGAAATTGAGAAATTGATAAGAGCCTTACTTATTATGTCTATACAAGAACTGCAAGGTCAACTGTATTGCAGTTTCTCCAGATAAAATGCCTTTTATTTTTGCCAACCTCTCTGCATAAGTTGCTTCCTTTGGATCCACAATAGGTACATCCCTGCTTGACGCTTGGGAATCTTCTGCCATCTGAACATCCTCAGGAGCATCCGTGTTTCCAGTTTCTGCAGTGCCTGGCTCAGTGGGACCCGCCTGCACAGGTTCTGAAGGTTGTATCATGGGACTAGAAAGTCGGTCTCTCACACTAAGTAGAAAAACTTGATTTTCACTCTCTAAAAGCTCAAAAGCTATTTGAAATGCCATCAGAGCATCATTCCTATCATCTGAGCGCAGAAGTTTCTCCAGTATGGCTGCAGCATCATTTGGTTTATCTAGGAACATAAGCCACTGACAAATGCTCAAATAATTGGGTGATGCAGACTTCTGGTACACATCAACAAGGAGACGGAGCACCTAACATGAACAAGAGGCATACAACAGTGAGTCTATCAATCACTCAACACATGTCATGATTAGCATAGATAATCCTCAGTGCATTGAAGCAATTGTGAAAACATTCTATATTTCTATATAAAATAGACCAAATACAACAAGGATGTGTGCAAGGCTGCAAGCACATATAGGCTAGGACTTAAGCATGAAAAGATAATGGAGGTGAAAGGGATATCTAAAAAGAGGAATCATAGGAAGACATGAGATTGCAAGTTAAAAAGTTAAACCATTGAAATGTAAGCAAGTGGTACATGGGAAAACTAGAAGGAAAGATAGTTATGTTCACTAATATAAAATTAACATAATATGAGTAAATTTTCCCTCTAGCTCAACTGTCAAAGAAATACATAAAAAAGGGAATTATAGAAGTATTACGTAACTATACCTCACGTCTAAATTCCCTACGGTTGACAAAGTTGTGGGACACATTACTGCAATACATCAAAGCTGCATCAAGATTATCACTCCTTACAATTGCTTCTGCAACTTTATCTAACCTTCGGCACTCTATTGCCATTCCAATGGCTTGTTGATATTTTCCATCCACTATGCACCTGAAAAGGTAAGGAGCATGTTAAAGACAAGTCAGAGTGAAAACTACAGAAAAACAATTAGAATAGAGCTCCACATACTTATCAAGCATTCTCTCCACAATGGCCTCCATCCTAGGATCCACATCAGCTGCCTCATCATTTGACTCAGCAGCCTTAGTCTTTCGACTAGCATATTCATCTAATGCTTTAGCTGCAAAGGGCAAGAAGGGAGGAAAAACAACCCAAATAAATTAAACTGAAAAGCAAAACCTAAATTTTTTTAATTTAACATGACATAGTAAATTTATATCTTCGCTGAGAAGAATAGGAATTTAAGTGAATCTTACCGAGAAGAGTATGGACATAGTCAGACTCCTCAGAAACATCAAACAGAGGGCCGGCTCCAAGGGCATAAGATAATGAATCATTAAGATCTCCCAAATAATAGAACACCTAGAGACAAATTAAAATGTTTGAGATGATTAGTGAAAATGCATATCATGAGATGATGCAAAATTACTTCTTAGTTTATTCACTACTTTAGGAATTTGCGATAAACAAAAAAAAAAAAATGGAGTAATAATAATACTCTTTATTGTGATAAAAAGGTTTTTTGCCATAGGAGCAGTTGATTTAACTTTTTTCGCAAGTCAGTTCATATATTATACTCCGTAGTAAAATAACAATAAATACAAAACAAAGAAGCCATAGCAGATTTCAGACCTTAGAAACAAGTAAGGCAGCAAGCTGTCTTTGATCAAATTCCTCATCCTCATACAAACTTTCTCTGCAGAACAATATGTCAAAAAGATATTCATCATTCCAAAGTGAAAGCACACACATCAACATATACTTCAAATATATAAAAGTTAAAGTTCAGAAATAATTTGCAAGTTTAGCAAAAAATTGATAAAGATCCATTCTTTTATAAATTACAAGCACATGACCTCGAGGCTAATGCCGCAATTGCCCAGTATAGACATTAAACTAACAAATCGAAACAATCTTTGTTGATAAACCATGACCAAACTTGGCATAGTACTCGATTTAGAACCAACTTTATAAAATTTTATAGTTTTGGCACTCCCTATCCACATTAATAAGATACAATAAAAAATAATTCCCAGAATTCCACCCCATAGCACTGGACATGGGCATTCTGAAGCAAAAAGATCATATTTTTCATAACCTAAACCATAATGTAGGGTAAAATTTCAAAATCCCAATTGTTATATACATTCCCCAAACTTGCAAAAGTAACCCCAACCCTAGGATTGTTGCAAATAATTAATAAAGATAGAGGTAGAGGGATTACATTACGGGGACGGATGTAGAGATCTCTGGCCAAAAATAATCGACGAAGGCGTTGAGATTGGTGAGAGCGTGGAGTTTGAGGGCGGGGTGAGTCTCGTTCAACATGGCCAATAGCCCTCCGGCGGAGGACACCATCGCCGTGGACGCCATTGACCGCAAAAACTCAGAGATTGATATTCAAGGATCCGAAGAAAAGCAGAGCAAAGCTTATTCAGAGAATCGGACTGGTATTTTTTGTCCAGTTTCGTAGCCGCTACTCCAAGTATATTACTCCTATTTTTCTCCAGCTTCCTAATTTCCTACAATCTCCATGGCGGCGACGTCAGCTACAATGTATTATGGAGAGGTTAGAAAAGATTTCTTGAAACCCTTGTTCAAGTTGCGGGGCTAGCTCAGTTGGGAGAGCGTCAGACTGAAGATCTGAAGGTCACGTGTTCGATCCACGTTCACCGCATTAATGTTTTGTTCATTGCCTAAGTCTTCAGATCATTAGTAGGATTTTAATTTTAATTATTTGGGTGCCCGAAGGGAATGATGTTTTGTTCATTGCCTAAGTCTTCAGATCATTAGTAGGATTTTAATTTTAATTATTTGGGTGCCCGAAGGGGTTTATCATTCCCTTTTGGTTTATTATTAAAAATTGATTGGTTCTATATTTTATAAATCGAATAGGTGAATTGAAAAATCGAATGGTTTATATATATATATATATATATATATATATATATATATATATATATATATATATATATAGAAAGGTTCCCGTGCGGATGTGCGTGAGATTTGTACTCAATGTGCGTGAAGGTTGTGTTTAATGTGCCTGAGATTTGTACTTAATGTGCGTGAATGTGTAAAATGCAGTAGAAAATATTGATGTCAGTTTCTTCCCCATCTCCAGTAGCCATTGCCCCCTCCCTGATGATGATGATGCGGAGGCGGGCTATGGTGGTTAAGAATTATGGGAATAATACAATAGAAATCCACACTTAGCTGCTGTGCAAATTTTACTGTGTGTGCGTCATCTATATAAACATTCAACTGCACTGAAGGTAGCTGATAATTCAGAATCCATGGCCAAATTGAAGGAAGAAGCAACAAGAAGCTTGGGCGTTAATGTGCGTGAGTTTCTGTTCTGCTTCCTTCTGAGCTCGTAATTATGAAATACTCACGCATATTAAGCACAAATATCACGCATAAACACAATACTCAGGCACATTAAGTACAAAACTCACGCATATTAACATGACGCACATTAAGTACAAATCTCAGGCACATTGAGTACAAATCTCACGCACATTAAATATAAACCTCACGCACATCCGCACCAGAAGCCACAAATGCACATGATCCCTTCCATATATATATATATATATATATATATATATATATATATATATATATATATATATATATATATATATATCCACATTTTTTATATTTATAAATTTATTCAAATATATATACTAAATTCCTAATTTCTTAACTTAAATTTTCTTTACAAATCTGTAACGTTGCAATCTGAGGAGGACGCATGTGAAGATGTTGGTTCGGTTTATACTTGTTTTAGGTTAAGAACTTTAAAACATGCATTGTGGACTTGTTTAATTTTTTCAAATTTAAATTATTAGTGGAAATAAATAAATAGTTATATGTGTAAGAAAACTAGAGAATGTTTGAGCCTTCAAACCGGATCGAACCGAAACCGAACTATTTCAACTAGCACATGCAATGCACAGGCATGTTGAGCGCGACAATTACTGACAGGCACATTCTGCATAATAGCTTTCCCCCTTCTCCCCAATAAATGAACCCCACAAAATTTGTGATTTGCAGGAGAAAAAAAATTTCCATTAGTTATTAAAATAAAATAAAATAAAATAAAATAAAACTCACCCTTAACGAGGCGTTTGGTCGGAGATTTGGAGGGAGGGAATTAGGTGGAAAGAAATTGTAATTTCATGGGAGATGAACAATGTGAGAATAAAGTGATAATTTAAATTTTATTGTTTGGTTTGCAGGAACAAAATTACTGAGAATTTCAATTCCAATATTTGGTATACATGGGAATTAAAATGGAATAAGTAGAATAAAGTTCAAAATGCACATACTTGTTGTTGTTGTTGTTGTTGTTGTTATCATTATAAATCCTAAATAACCAAATTAAATTCAAATTTTGCTTTTGAAAATTTATGTAAGACGTTGTAAATAAACTCTAGAATTGTATAACGAAAACAATAAAATCAATAAAAGGAGTTTTGAGAAAACATATTTGATTGAAGTTGGGATATTGATTGACACTATGTGTTGAGACTAGAATGAGAAGACACTAAAATTGAAAAAGAGAGGTCAAATATCAAATTTAGGTTACAAAATAGAGTGGTAATTTTGTCTCAAAGTTATTTTTTCTTCATAAAATCCATGGAATTGAAATACCAAGGGGGACATGAGATTCCAATTCCATGAAAATGAGATAATTTCAATTCCGTGGAATTACAATTCCCTCCACCCAACCGAAGAAATTTGTTTGTCCTTGAATTTAGGTGGGAATAGAATTGTAATTCCCTTAAACCAAACGCCCCATTAATTTTTTATTATGCAAAAAAATCATTGATATATTTGCTATTTAGAGCAACTCCATTAGGAGTTTTGCTAAGTTTATGAGGAAGAATAGATCAAGCTATGATGTTCACATTAATGGGAGAGATGGGTTATAGGGTGCTTTTATCACTGCAAATTGAGGGTTTTTAGTGGGGCCCAAGTGAAAAGATAATGGGAGAAAAAGAAACTCAGGTCTACACGTGTGGCACAATATTTGCACAGCAAATTATGCTGTGCATCCGTGTGTATCATGGATGCAAAAACGATATCGTTTTGACTAAAAACGTGTGTCCACTTAAAAAAAAAAGTTTTGATTCCCAGCAACAGCATTATGTTGTTCATTCATTCTAGATTTGTAGTTCATTTATTCTGAATTTTTAGTTATGAAAGTATGGATGTGTAGTTTTGCAATTCTGGATTTATAGTTATGAAGTTATGGATGTGTAATTATGCATGGTGTAGTTATGCAATTCTGGATTTATAGTTATGAAATTATGGATGTATAGTTATGCAATTCTGGATGTATAGTTATGAAGTTATGGATGTGTAGTTACGCAATTCTGGATTTAGAGTTATAAAGTTATGGATGTGTAGTTATGCAATTCTGGATGTATAGTTATGAAGTTATAGATGTGTAGTTATGCATGCAATTCTGGATTTATAATTATGAAGTTATGAATGTATAGTTATGCAATTATGAATGTATAGTTATGAAGTTATGGACGTGTAGTTATACAATTATGGATGTATAGTTATGAAGTTATGAATTTTTTTTTTAAGTCAACGTCAAAACGACGTCGTTTTTGCATTCGTGTGCACTGGTGCACACGGATGCACAACATAACGCTCCTATTTGCACATAGTAGAAACGTGCATAACACGCGCTATGTTAGACGTGTAATAATATACTTTTTACTTTTATTTTTTTTTTCTTAGATTTGTTTTTTTTTTTTCTCTTTTTCTTTTTCTCCTATTTTTTTTATCTCCCTCTTCCCACTCTTAATTAACACCTCAAAAACCTCAAAATAAAAACTAAAACTAAAATACTCCCTAGAAATTGAACTATTGATCAGCACTACTATCATCATGCCATTATAGGGCTGACATTTTAGGTTGTATGTCAGCATAAATAAAATCATGTTTGACCATCACTTTCACCTTCTATACAGAGGTAGGCTAGGGAAGAATAGATGCAATATATCTATGTGCAAAATAATATGAGATGATTTTTCGAAGTGATTTTATTTCATTTACTGCATCTCCAACCCACTCTACTCCAAAACACCAAATTTTTTCACCAAATGTCACATCAGAAGGAATATTCCCAACATATTCTGACACCAAATTTTATTCATCTCCAACCCATTTTTACCAAAACACCAAACTTTTACACTAAAATAATTTTATTTTTCAATTACTATTTCGAATTTAATTAGTTTAATATAATTTAGTTCGAACTTATTTAGTTTAATATAAAATATAACTTGTGATGTAAATAATAATTTTTATTAACATTAATTTTTTTATAAAATTAATTATTTTAAAAAATCGAATTTAACAATATTTTTTAAAATTTAATTTATTCCACAATAATAATATAGCATACAACATCTAGTACATTTAATTATGTTCTAGTTTTTTTTTTTTTTTGAAGGGAAAAGTAAGCAACTTTATTAGAATAGATGCTCAATACAAGTAGGAATAATCGATAACCAATGCATAGGACCAGGTTGTGAACGAGTTGCTCTAGCTAGGGTATGAGCAAACTTGTTCGCTGATCTCGAAAGAAAATGAATAGACACTGATTCAAAGTGTCGTTGAATTGATCGGCACTCTTCTAAAACACAACCGGCATAAGAACGATCACATGTTATACCATCGAACCACTTACAGACTAACTGACTGTCTGAAAAAATGGCCACCTTGGTGTCTCCTCTCTCCTTTGCCCAGGACAAAGCCTCTTTCACGGCTAGCGCCTCCGCCATAAAAACATTGTTCAAGCAACGTACATAGCCATTTCTAGCCGCCACATAATCTCCATGACTATTTTTCATAATCGCACCAAAAAAACCTTCTCCCGAATTCGGAAAAACTGCAGCATCAACATCAATACAAACCGTACCTGAAGGGACCAAAATATTAGGTGTGCTGCTATCTGTCATTTGCGCACCATTAGTTGTATGCACCAGATTATTTTCCCAATCAGATACCAACCTTGAAGCCTCAAAAATAACCATGGAACTTTGCCAAGCTTTGCTATTCCAAACTAAATCATTACGGTGCTTCCAAATTGACCAACAAAGAGCAACACATCTGTAGCCCATATTGCTATCCGTAGCCCCTAACCATTTAGATAGGCTACTCGTGAAATCATCATCAGCATGTAAAGGCAGCAACGAAGGATCATCCCATAATGGCTGTACATGAGAACAATAAAAAAAGAGGTGTTTGATTGACTCAGGTTCCTGCTGACAGAGAAGGCAGTGCGTATCCACATCCATCCGTCGCGAAACTAAAGCCACCATTGTTGGCAAAACACCATGAATGCATCTCCAAACAAAGTTCAAAATATTGGGTGGTATCTTTAGCCTCCAAAAATTCTTCCATGCGAAGGCAGAATGTTGGCTACTTGTTTGCTGGTTGCCCATCAACTTATAGCCATGCTTCACCGTGTAAGCACCTCTAGTATCATCACGCCATTGCCACACATCATCAAAGCTTGGGGAGATCGGGATTCTTCGAATC